CGGGGTTTGACACACTTCGGTTATGCCACCTGACGTTTTACTTCGGCAAGTACTTGTCCTGTAAGATATTGCTAACAAATTTCACAAAAAATATACTTAGTTTAATCTCAAACTTTGTAAACTTTCTTCAAGTTACAACAAGTGCTAAACAATGAGTCTACTTGTAAATTGCTACAAATTCTCACAACGTGTTTAAACAATTAATATCGGCTTAACTCAACTTGTAATTGTTACAAATTTTCAACAATGTGAAGGTAACAATATCTAGCTTAACTTCAACTTTGTAAATTGCACATAATTTTAACAAATGAAGTTAACAATGATCTCGGGCTTAACTTCAACTTGTAAATTGCTTTACAAATTAACAAGTAAAGGTAAACAATGATTTCGGCTAACTTTGCAACTTGTAAATTGCTACAAATTTCAACAGTGAAGGCTAAACCAATGATCTCGCTTAACTTCAACTTGTAAATTTGCCTACAAATTTTCAAACAAGTTGAAGGTAAACCAATGATCTCGGCTTAACTTTCAACTTGTAAATTCTACAAATTTCAACAAGCGTTAAGCATTACTTCGGTTTAACTTCAACTTTAAATTGCTACAATTTCAACAAGGTGAAGGTAAAACAATTATCTCGGTTGAACTTCAACTTTGTCAATTGCTACAAATTTCAACAAGCTTAGAGCATCAACTCGTTTAACCTTTCAATCTGTTAAATGCCTACAAATTTCAACCCAACGTGAAGATAAACAATTATCTCGGCTTAAACTTCAACTTGCTAAATTGCTACAAATTTCAAACAAGCGTAAAGCAATTACTTCGGTTTAACTTCAACTTGTAAATTGCACAAATTTCAACAAGTGATTGATAAAACCAATTATTCTCCGGCTTAAATTCAACTTGAAAATTGCTTACAATTCAACAAGCGTTAAGCATTACTTCGATTTAACTTCAACTTGTAAATTACTACAAATTTTCAACCAAGCGTAAGATAAACAATTATCTCGGCTTAACTTCAACTTGTAAATTGCTATAACATTTCAACAAGCGTTAAGGCATTACTTTAGTTTTACTTCACTTTGTAAATTGCTACCAAATTTTCAACAAGTGCTTAAACGCATTCTTCTTCTCTCTGCCCCCCCAGTCGTGAACTTAAAATCCACTTGGGTTCTCATCATTAACATGTATCTTCGACTTTGTCGCGAGGGTTGTCGGCCTTGGTTTCCTTCTATTGATCTTACTTGGCTCCAAACCTGAGTTTTGATTTCGACCTCGCATCGGCCAAGCCGTTTTCTCTTTTCTTTGTTCCGACGCCTTTGTTCCCGGCATTGTCTTAACTCGGCCCTAGTATACTTCTCAATTCTGGCAAAACTTAGTCTGATTCTGTGGTTTCCTTTTATCTTCTAGGATATGAATCTGCTCATTAGTGTCTTCTATTCTCGGACTCAGGTGCCGAGATCTTGTCTGCCTCGAATCTTGGATCTGCTCACTCAGGTTTGAGCTCTTCTCCTCTCGGACCTACTTCATCTAGGCCGAGATCATGTTCTTTAGGATCCGGGATCTGGAATTCGGAGATCTTGCCTCATTTAGGTTAAGGCTCTCGTCTTCTCGGGCCTACTTGTCTAGACTGAGTTCATGCTTCTCGGAATTCCGGGATCCAGGAATCTGGGAATCCGGGATTCTGCTTACTCAGGATGAGTTCTTCTATACTTTTAAATGTTAATCTCCTTGGAGCGCTCATGCCCCCTGTCTTTTGCATCCCTTCTGGAAGGGTCTTCGTTCCTCCGCAAGGGTAATCTATATCTTCCATACTTGGAGGTCATCTTCGTGTAGTTATCCGCTTCAATCTGTTGTCTTTGATGCGTCACCTCTTGGCCGACGTCTGTTCACTCCGTGGATTCTGTCACGAGCGTCTATGTGTGCTATTGTCCCCTTCAAACATCGAGGTTTGATAGATCTCTCCCATTCCCAAAGGAGCGTTGTTCTAGTCTGATCCCTTCTGTCCGTCATTTGGCCATCTATTCTCTTTCTTTCCCACAGTCGGCGCCAAATTGTGTGGGTAATTTTTGACCACACTTGCCCGCCTATTAACCAGCTGAAGAGCTACTGGCAGACATATGGCACCTTGGCTAACCTGGCAACAGAATAGAAGATTCCGCGATGGTCGGTCACCCGGGGGCACTCCGACAGATCAAGTCAGTACTCAAAATCTCTCAAAGATACCAAATAGTGCTTTAACTCACTATTTAGAAGACAGAAAGCATACCTTAGACCATGAGGGTGCCTCTCTTTTTATAGCAACTCAATCTTAATCCCCTAGAAGCCTAAACTTCTATTGGACTTAGGATTACTGCTAATCTGGGAACTCCATGGGATTAGGATAACTCTAAGAGTCTTATCTTAATCCAAACTGAATGTTTCTCCCAATCTAGGACTCTTGGTCCATATCCAGGTTGGAGGTCCCTCTTTCATTCTAGGACTCTTGTCCTTTTTCTGCCTATCCGGATTCGATATCTTTGGAGATGACTCCCCCCGTTGGCCTTACTGAGATCACCCTCGGTGTCACGACTAGGACACGTGGCACCTGGCTGACACGCGGCGTCACCTTTCACGTGTTTGGTACTCAGAAAATATATCCCCACATTACTGGATGGTGTCAAAATTCATACAAGTTCAAAGAAAACCTCTACTTCTTTGAGCTCCAAACCTACAATGCGACGGGGATTATCGACGTTCCCTATATGTAACAAAATGAATAGTTAGAAATTTATTTAAGGATTTTTTTAAAATGGTGTGATTTTTGATTTTTGATTTGTTTATTTTTAGCGTATACCTTGAAGGGTTAATTTGAGAAAAAAAACATACGTGTATGAGAGTAAATTATAATCCTGGAATAATTTAACAGAGTGTATTAAGAAAATAGACATACTTAATCGGATTTTTTTTATGTAAATAGATTCCCCTGAAAACGTGTTATAAATCAATCATTAGACTATATGTTTTGTTTCAATTAAGGGGAAATTTTGGTTGAAATTTAGGATGGGGGAAAAGGAAGGAAAAAATTGCGTATATCTATAATTTTATGAGCATTACTTATCTTACTTAAATTTCTTACTTAATAATCTTACTTAAAAAAAAGTACATGTTAAATAAATATATTATTTATTATATTTACAAACCAATCACATTTTGGCCTCTTGTATTTTCAGTAAGATTGTTAGATATATATAATAGAAGAGAAAATTACAAAAAATAAAATAAAATAAAATCTAGCGGTTTGTTCTTATCACAAATTAAATCAGTAGAATTTTTAATTTTGTCTAGTTAAATTCTGAACTTGTGAATTTTTTTTTTCAATTTTTAAACATTTGTCTTATTTTCAGTAATAAAATCAAAAATATATTTTAGTCATTAAAACTCAATAAAAAGAATATTTCAGATATTATATATATATATATATTATATTTTCTACATTGAGTTTAATGACTAAAATTATTTTCTATAAGTTTTATTTAACAAACAAAAATGTTTTGAGACCCTTTTCCCTCCACTCCTTTGACACCCTTTTCCTCCCATTGATTAGTTTTTCTTTTATATTTTTTTTTATTTTCCTTCTCTCAATCACACCCGCCAGGTTGTGTGTAGGGTGTGGGGGGTGGTGATTTGGAGGGGTCTTTATCAATTGCTCCTTAACAAAAAATAGACGAATAGTTTAAATGAAAATAAATTAAAGATATTATATTTAAAGGAAAATGCTAGAGGCCCAAATTTTTACCAAATAAATGACAAATGTCCTTACATGTGTGGGGCCCACAAAATTGCGGACCCCACACCATGTGGAGAATTTGGTCATTTGTTGGTCAGAAAAATTTGAGTGTCCCTTACCATTACCCATATTTAAAATAACAAAAATTAAAAACTCAAACTTTGAGGTTTTTTTTTTTTTTTTTTTTTGGTAATTTATGTGCTAGAATTATTCATATTTTATTATACAGTCTACTTGTCTTTTTTTTTCTTTTTCTAAATATTTTATTTGAAATCATTAAAACCACCTTAGGAAAACATAGATGATAAGTTTGGACCATTTTATCGTCCTACGGGAGAGCTAGGGTTTTCTCAGGACTGTTTGGCTTATATAGCAAAGCCGCAATGCTCTTCCACATCACAACCGATTTCTTAGTTCCTCTCTCAAATTTCTTTAATCGCCTTCGAATTCTCTCTTTGTTTTCGCTTTCTTTCTTCAACAAGTTTATGTATATGTATCAGCCAATTTGACAGAGCAAGAGGTACGTCAATGAATCAAGACGAGCCCCTTGCATTTGAAAGGTTGGTGCAACAGAGAAACATCGCGATTCTCGTGCCTTCAAATTTATATTTTCATTTTATTACGGCTCGAACAAATCGCTACATTCCATATTTCTTTCTCTTCTCTCTGTTTTTTTTGTGAATCTAAACTTGTAGTTTTCTTTGATTTGCCTTTGTTTACTACTATTGTTGTGAATCTCATTTGTAGTTTTTTTATTCACATCTGTTTGTTGTGGTTGTGAATCTCATCTCTTTTTTTTTTCCTTCATAATTTTTTTTAGGAGAAAATAATTAACTAAAAAATTACGAATAAAATTATTTGGAAAATATTATTGTAAAGTTATTGAAAAAAGTGAAATTATTTAATTTTTAAATATTGGATTACTAAAATAGTGGAAAAACAACACAAACAAGAATTATGGAGTAGAAAAAGGAGTTCTTTTATACTCTTCGTTCTTTTTTAATTGAAATGTAAACCCATTTATTTCAAATAATGTTACTACAAATTTTATATAAATTATTAAATTATTTTACACATATTCACGTCAGTTGTGTTGTGTCGTGGGCTTCATTTTTATGTACATATTTTGTTTAGCATTTTAGTAATTTATTTAGATTCATAACATAGCATTGTTCTTAATTAAATTTTAAAGTTGAAATTTTGAGATGAAGAGTCGCTGCGGTAACCCACTCACTACTGTGCCTGTCCTGTTGTTTGAACGGCACCGTTTTACATTTTGTTTAATTATTATTATTTTTTTTAAGGTTTACATTAATTTTTGTAACTAATTAATATTGGCTGATATTTTAAAAAAATAAAAAATATTATCAATTTTAAATAATTTATCAAATTTTTTAGGGGCACAGCAATAAGTTGGTCGTCACAGTGACCCCTCATTTGAAATTTTGACATTTTCAATAAATTGCCTTTTTATGTGTGACATCACCCATAAGTTTTTATTTTGAAGTATATACTTCGTACTAAATTACATCTAGTTTTTGAGGTTAAACAAAAAAGAAAAATACCAAAAGAGTGAAAAATAATTATAAAATGATGAAGTTTGTACATTCAATTATGCAAATAAATATTATATGTTCATTAGTTGGAATTTTTTTTAACATTTCATTTTTTTGAAGTTCTTTCTTAAACTATAGAATCTTATATAATAATATGATTTTTTTTTAATTAAATTAAATAGATTAGAATTAATGTAGATGAAAATTTAACCTAAACAATGTCAAATAAGAGAAATTTTATGAAATATTTTTTTTGGAAGTGTTTATCATATATCTTAATTATGTTATATGTTGATTTATTGTGATTATTATTTTAGTTATATTTTAAAATGTCTTATATTGTGTTTATTATTTTTTCTTATTGAAATTGAATTTATTATTATAATTGAAAAAAAAATTATAATTTGTTTTAGGTAGTTATGATTAAAAAAAATTAAATTCGTAATATGGTACATCAAAATATATATTTTTGTCTAAAAATGTAATTAACAATTTATTTATTAATAAGAATGGTTAGGTTTTATGTGAATTAGAATTTAAAACAAATAATATAATTATGTTAAAATTATAAATTTTATTATATTTTATTATATTTTATTTAAATTGAAAAAAAAATGCTGACATATGAATATGTCTTCACCAATCTCTCTCATAGTATGAACTTTCAATTTCACGCCACAAATTTCAGTTACTCCTAATCTTTCTATAAAGTAAAGGGAATAAATCTTTATGTAAATTTACAATTATTATTCATTAGAATCAAACAATGAAATACCTAAAATGAAATTCAAATAAATTACATCGATTACATATGTAAATTTCTTGCTAATAAAATTTAGACACAAATTATTGCCTTGTTTGCCAACTAATGATGTTGATTTGGAAATAGGCTATTTTAGTTTTATTATTTTTTTGCTAAAATATGAGGAGAAAAAAATTAATAAATGTTGAAAGATATTTTGATTTTTTATAAAAAAAAAAATCTGCAAAAAATATATAGAAAAAATGGAATTTTTGATTTTTTATATAATTTTTTAATTTTTAACTTTTTTATTGATTTTTTTATTTTTTTAATTATTGTAAAATTAAAAAGTCATGAAAAATGTCAAAAATTCAATTAACTATGTAAAAAGGTTAAGATTTTCTATTTTGTATTTTTGTACTTTTTTCATAAAAAATTAAAGAATATTAACTTTTTTTTACCTCATTTTATTTAAGAAGTTAAAAAATTACTAAAATAACCTATTTCAAACAAATACTAGTCTTTAGCAATTGCATTCATAAATAATAGAATGACACAAAATAACAAATAAAACACTGACTTAATTATTATAATCAAATTATTGAATATTTTGAATAGATCTGAAAATTTGAAACTACCTGGTAACCCAATAAAAACTTGAAATTCTTAATAATAAACCAAAATCACATGATTGATTAGTTACAAATGTTTTTTGACAAGTATTTGTTGTAACAGGCTATGAAACCAGTTACTCTTTGAAAAAAAAAAACATACAGGTAATTATATTGCTTGAAGTGGAAATAGTTTTAGATCGGATAACTTGAATTACAAGTCCTGTTGGAAAACCCTTCGACAATTAAGAAGTTACTAAAGTTTCTTAATATTTTATTCACACTCTAAATTTTTAAACTTACAAATTGTAACCTCAAGATAGATGAATAGAGAAAACTTAGCTTATTTTGTGATGTTTTTCACATTGTTGAGCATGTACTTATATAGGCATCTTTGGCAAGATCATATGTCTTTCATAGTTGTGTTCCTTGTGGTTTCCAAGATCATGCGTCGCTAATGGTTAGGCCATATGACATCTTTGGCAGAATCATGTGTCCCTCATGGTTTTTAAAACCATGTGTTCCTAATGGTTAAGCAAGACCATGTGTCTCTAATAGTTAGGTCATGTGTAGATGTACATGCGTCCTTTATAATTAAGGCATACCATGTGTATTACATGGTTTCCAACATCTCTCATACATCCACATCATGTGTTATATGCACAATCATGTGGATATGTAGATGAGTGTTCCTTGTGGTTTTCAAGATTATGTGTCCTTAATGGTTAGGCCATGTGACATCTTTGGCAAAATCATGTGTCATTCATGGTTTTCAAGACTATGTGTTCCTTATGATTTCTAAGACCATGTGTCCTTAATGGTTAGGCAAGACTATGTGTCAAGTCATACCATGTGTACCACATGGTTTCCGCACACATCCACATCATGTGTTATACGTACAATCATGTGGATGTGTGGATGAGTGTATTTAATGAGAGGTTGAGAAATGATGATTGTGCATGAGTGAGAAATGTTGGAAATCATGTAATATACATGGTGTGCCTAATCATGAAGGACACAAGGTACTGATGGTGCATCCACACATGGCCTAATCATGAGGGACACATGATCTTGGAAACCATGAGGTATACATGGCCTGACCAAAGATGTCTATATGAGCGCATGCTCAACATTGTGAAGATAATCACAAATTTATTCAATTCTATCTTGAGCCTAGGAATTTGGATTAGTAGCTTTTCAATTGACAGAGGTTTTATAGATGAGTCTTGTAATTTAAGCATCTGATCCAAGCTCTTTTTGCATCAGATAATATGATTACTCGTATTATTTTTTTCATTAGTATCAGAGCCATATTACTCTTTTTGTCTCATATGATTTGAATGTCGTAGATTAGTTTTATTTATATTTAATTCAATATAATTGAATATCATGCCACATTGAGAAAAGTTTTTGGAAAACCCATAAGAGCAGATTTTTTATCTTAAAAACAATATAATTTTTTTTTTTATGTAATTGAAATTTACATATTTTGAAAGCAATCTTTGTGAGCATTCCATCCATATAAAATGGACTTTAATTGGAGTTATATTGAAAAAGTATGATTTTTCAAAGATTTTTAGGTCAAAATCGTTGAAATTTTGGAAAATTATTTTTTCCTGACATATTAATTATTGTGTAAAATTTGATGACTTCTTTTAGTATTGTTAGCATTTATTTTGTGCTATTTAATTGTGGAGCCCACTCACAAATAGCAGGGGTGTAAAAATGGCCAGCGGCCCGTTTATGCCTGCTTGGCCGCAGCCCGAGCCCCTAGGCTAGGGCCTGGGCTATCGTTTTGAAGGCCCGCTTGGCCCAGCCTATCGGCCCGCTTATGGCCCACATAGGGCCCAACTCGAAGCTTAGCCCGCGCCGAGATCTAGTGTATTTTTTAGTGGAAATAATAATCTTTTGATAGAAAAAATTTTAAAAAATTAAAAAAAATGGCCCGGCCCGCCCAAGTCCGAGGCTAAGCCCAGGCCCACCGGCCCAGCCTGAGGCCTGGCCCACTGGCCCGCCCAAGGCCTGAATACCCTTAGGTCTGGGCTAGGGCCTGGGCTTAGTTTTTTGGCCCGTGGGTCGGCCTTTGAAATTTTGGCAGGAGCCCGCGAGGCTCGAGCCATATTTACACCCCTAGCAAATAGTAAGACGCTATTTTATTTTATTTTATTTTTTTCTGCATTCATATATATTATGTGATCCTATACCTATCTCAACGTTACTTGTGAGACTTTGTCTTAATACCTCTTAAGATCTGTCAAAAAGATAGTTTTGTTATCTAAAGTGGTTGGACTTAGAAGGGAGACTATATTGACTCTTCTGATCTTCTTAGCATCTTACTTGGTTATTGACCAAAGGATTTTGTAGTGACGTTACCTTGATCTCAATCTTTGGAGTAGAATTTGGGGCATCACATATTATGCATGGTTTAATGTTGTGAATTTAAGAGATGGTTTTGCCTTTTTTATATTATTTTATTCAAAAATTAATTGGGTGTTGTATTTTAACTCATAGAAGGAGATGATTATGAGCTTAGCGAAATTTTAGATCTCTCTATGTATGTGGAAATATTATATGTCAATTGTGTTTTTGCGAATAATTTTTTTTAAAAAAGAAAAAGAAAAAAAAAGTGTGCTAATGTCAAACCCCGTGTACTAAAATCAGTGAAATGACCTCTAAGAATGTTGTTGCTGACCTCACCAAAGAAGAAAAATTGGATGGGTCCAAGTATGATATGTG